GTTATAATTGATCATCTGTTACTAGGCACCTTAGTAAATTTTTTTCAATAACTGAAAGTGAAGTTAGTTTGATCCATGCAAAATTGTAAAAATAAAAGTCATTTTGGTTCTATCCTCAACACATGAACCCCCAGAATGTCAGCTTGGATGCATGAATACAACGTACAGAGGGGATTCATCAACCCGGTTCATGTGGAACCCATGCTGGTCAGAGGTGCAATGTGAGTGCAGTGATTGACATGACAACTATTTTACAACATGCCTGGGTCAGGTGGGGTGGGGGAGGGTCGGTGCGCCATATGGCACGCCACATGGCACTCCACATGGCACTCCCATTTCTATATCATTTTTGAGACAGTCTTTAAATATTTGGTTGATATTCATTTTTATATCATGGTTGTGGCTATATCATTTTTGTGGTTGTGGTTATATCATTTTGTGGTTATATCATTTTGTGGTTGCGGTTATATAACTTTGTGGTTATATCATTTTGTGGTTATATCATTTTGTGGTTGTGGTTATATCATTTTGTGGTTATATCATTTTGTGGTTATATCATTTTGTTGTTAAATCATTTTGTGGTTGCGGTTATATCATTTTGTGGTTATATCATTTTGTTGTTAAATCATTTTGTGGTTGCGGTTATATCATTTTGCGGTTATATCATTTTGTGGTTGTGGTTATACCATTTTCTGGTTGTGGTTATATCATTTTGTAGTTGTGGTTATATCATTTTGTAGTTGTGGCTATATCATTTTGTAGTTGTGGTTATATCATTTTGTAGTTGTGGTTATATCATTTTGTGGTTATATCATTTTGTGGTTATATCATTTTGTTGTTAAATCATTTTGTGGTTGCGTTATATCATTTTGTGGTTATATCATTTTGTGGTTGTGGTTATACCATTTTCTGGTTGTGGTTATATCATTTTGTAGTTGTGGTTATATCATTTTGTAGTTGTGGTTATATCATTTTGTGGTTATATCATTTTGTGGTTATATCATTTTGTTGTTAAATCATTTTGTGGTTGCGGTTATATCATTTTGTGGTTGTGGTTATATCATTTTGTGGTTATATCATTTTGTTATTAAATCATTTTGTGGTTGCGGTTATATCATTTTGTGGTTGTGGTTATATCATTTTGTGGTTATATCATTTTGTTATTAAATCATTTTGTGGTTGCGGTTATATCATTTTGTGGTTGTGGTTATATCATTTTGTGGTTATATCATTTTGTTATTAAATCATTTTGTGGTTGTGGTTATATCATTTTGTGGTTGTGGTTATATCATTTTGTGGTTGTGGTTATATCCTTTTGTAGTTGTGGTTATATCATTTTGTAGTTGTGGTTATATCCTTTTGTAGTTGTGGTGATATCATTTTGTAGTTGTGGTTATATCATTTTGTAGTTGTGGTTATATCATTTTGTAGTTGTGGTTATATCCTTTTGTAGTTGTGGTGATATCATTTTGTAGTTGCGGTTATATCATTTTGTAGTTGTGGTTATATCATTTTGTGGTTGTGGTTATATCATTTTGTAGTTGTGGTTATATCATTTTGTAGTTGTGGTTATATCATTTTGTAGTTGTGGTTATATCATTTTGTAGTTGTGGTTATATCATTTTGTGGTTGTGGTTATATCATTTTGTAGTTGTGGTTATATCATTTTGTAGTTGTGGTTATATCATTTTGTAGTTGTGGTTATATCATTTTGTGGTTGTGGTTATATCATTTTGTAGTTGTGGTTATATCATTTTGTAGTTGTGGTTATATCATTTTGTAGTTGTGGTTATATCATTTTGTAGTTGTGGTTATATCATTTTGTAGTTGTGGTTATATCATTTTGTAGTTGTGGTTATATCCTTTTGTAGTTGTGGTGATATCATTTTGTAGTTGTGGTGATATCATTTTGTAGTTGTGGTTATATCATTTTGTAGTTGTGGTTATATCCTTTTGTAGTTGTGGTTATATCATTTTGTAGTTGTGGTTATATCCTTTTGTAGTTGTGGTGATATCATTTTGTAGTTGTGGTGATATCATTTTGTAGTTGTGGTTATATCATTTTGTAGTTGTGGTTATATCCTTTTGTAGTTGTGGTTATATCATTTTGTAGTTGTGGTTATATCCTTTTGTAGTTGTGGTGATATCATTTTGTAGTGGTTATATCCTTTTGTAGTTGTGGAGATATCATTTTGTAGTTGTGGTTATATCATTTTGTAGTTGCGGTTATATCATTTTGTGGTTGTGGTTATATCATTTTGTGGTTATATCATTTTGTTGTTAAATCATTTTGTGGTTGTGGTTATATCATTTTGTGGTTGCGGTTATATCATTTTCTGGTTGTGGTTATATCATTTTGTGGTTGTGGTTATATCATTTTGTGGTTATACCATTTTGTTGTTAAATCATTTTGTGGTTGTGGTTATATCATTTTGTGGTTGCGGTTATATCATTTTCTGGTTGTGGTTATATCATTTTGTGGTTGCTGTTATATCATTTTGTGGTTGTGGTTATATCATTTTGTGGTTATACCATTTTGTTGTTAAATCATTTTGTGGTTGTGGTTATATCATTTTGTGGTTGCGGTTATATCATTTTCTGGTTGTGGTTATATCATTTTGTGGTTGCTGTTATATCATTTTGTGGTTGTGGTTATATCATTTTGTGGTTATACCATTTTGTTGTTAAATCATTTTGTGGTTGTGGTTATATCATTTTGTGGTTGCGGTTATATCATTTTCTGGTTGTGGTTATATCATTTTGTGGTTGCTGTTATATCATTTTCTGGTTGTGGTTATATCATTTTGTGGTTGTGGTTATATCCTTTTGTAGTTGTGGTTATATCATTTTGTAGTTGTGGTTATATCCTTTTGTAGTTGTGGTGATATCATTTTGTAGTTGTGGTTATATCATTTTGTAGTTGTGGTTATATCCTTTTGTAGTTGTGGTGATATCATTTTGTAGTTGTGGTTATATCATTTTGTGGTTGCGGTTATATCATTTTGTGGTTGTGGTTATATCATTTTGTAGTTGTGGTTATATCATTTTGTAGTTGTGGTTATATCATTTTGTAGTTGTGGTGATATCATTTTGTGGTTATATCATTTTGTGGTTATATCATTTTGTTGTTAAATCATTTTGTGGTTATATCATTTTGTAGTTGTGGTGATATCATTTTGTGGTTGTGGTGATATCATTTTGTAGTTGTGGTGATATCATTTTGTGGTTGCGGTTATATCATTTTGTGGTTGTGGTGATATCATTTTGTGGTTGTGGTGATATCATTTTGTGGTTGTGGTGATATCATTTTGTGGTTGTGGTGATTTCATTTTGTGGTTGTGGTTATATCCTTTTGTGGCACCCACTTTTAATTTTTGGATCTTGTATTTGGTTCTTTGAAGCAATCTCCAAGAATAAATACATAATTGGTTGTCTTAATGTAAGATCTGTTTTCTTGCAGCATTCTGGATTCCTTCAACAATTTAGATGAAAAAGTGAGAGCCACATTCAAGCTCGTTTTTGTTGAGGGAGTGGAGGAAGAGTGGAGAGGCTGCTTTTTAACTCCACCCATCAAACGTCTCGAGAAGTTTGTCGACACGGCCCGATCAATTGTTTACGGCAAGGAAGAAATTGATGAGGGGATGTAGCCGTTATTTTATTAGGCATCAAGAAATTGTTCCTTGTTGCATAGATGTTGGAATAATGAAAACGAAAAAACTTGTTTGATAAAAAAAATGTGACATTATTAGTCCACAAATTCTTCTCTAACCATTTGAGAAAAAAAAATCTTTGGTTAGTTGTAATTAAGGCAGGATTATAGCCTTGAGGACCATGATATTGAGATCCACGAGTTTACTCTGAGATTTATGTCCTCCTGACTCAGTAGTGTATGGGGAATGATAAATATGATTGCCATATAAATGATTTCATTGAAATACTCATTAAGAGAATAGAACAGGGTCAAGTAAAAGAGAAAAAAAGACTGCTATTGCAGATGAAACAGAGATGGAAGATCCCTTGATCTTTTTAAGCAATTCCAAGGACAGAATCTTCAGAAGTCTGTTCCCAGTTTTGTTATAGGCTATGAATTTTCCTAGCAATGTCCTGTCTCAAGGAATTTGTCTCAATTAAAACTGATCATGGATTACTTAAGATCTGCATTGACTTTTTGCATGTAAGAAATATTGATTTCTGTAATAGAGATCTACTGACAAAAACCAACTTCATCAATAATTTTTTTAAAGATATAAAAAATATCTGAAGAAAAAACATTTTGAAATATTTCAAATTGATCTTTTCACTTGAGAAATAAACATGGTTTCAAATTGGAAAAAAATCTGAATTATCTTTTTTTTAAAAAAAAGTATTATGTGTGGGTGTTATGTGTGTATATTAATATATATATATATATACATACAGTTAAGGGGTGGGGGGTCATCATTTAGGCTACAGAATCATTGGCTTTAAAGTGTTCAGCTTTGTAAGTGTCTTCTTTAGATCAGTTGTGTCAAGGCACAAGCTGTACAGTGATTGGTATCCCCAATAGTTATATCTTGTGGAAAGAGAGGGGATTAAAAATAAAACATGACCAGCTGAGTTGTCAAATAGAGACAAAGTTAGATCAGAAATGTTCAAGTACTGTTACTGATTTGTAAAAGTAGTTAAATTTAGGGAAAACACACTCTCAGAATAAACCAGACATTACATTTAAAATGTTCATATTTTGCTTGATAATCCACTTATGTGTACAGGGGTCGCGTCCCTCTTGACGATTTGAGTTTGAGAAACACTGCTTTTTAAAAAAAATTCTTTTTAATTAACCAGGCGCAACAAAAACGGGGATGAAAGAGCTAAAACTAGGTACAATGTATGGGCAAATTTGCATAATGAATTTGCATATATGTTGTCTGTATGTGAAACAGAGATGTCAGAGCATTATTGTACCATACACCATTTTTTTGATCATCTATATAGAAATATAAAACAAAAGACATTTAAATAAATTGTACAAATGTGTTTAATGTCATCAAAACGTTTTTAAACATAACACAGTTAAATTATATAAAAGAAACAAATAAGCAGTATTCCTCCAATACTGTGAAATCAAGTGAATATACCACAGTGGGTGTCTTTACCATGATGGGTTTATTTACCACAGTGGGTGACTTTGCTGCAATGAATGACTTTGCCTTTTTAAACATAAATTATTCCCCAACAACCAGTATGTTCTCTCTAGGATCTATAGTTTAGTCCCTTAAATAGATGGCGCCAGTTTAAAAGAGTGAATGACCTCTTCTATATTTTTTTTCAACAGCAAAAAAGCATATGTAGATTTGAACTCCTAGAATATGTCACAGATGTAAGAGTAGAAAGACATCAAGTCCTGGTGCTACAGTACACTGTTGTTCCTTGTTATCATTGCCTTACTAAGTCAATACTTGCGAATATTTTCTAATACCAGTGACCAGTGCATTTACAAACTCAATGACATAAAGAAAGTGGCAGATAGATAAGCAGAATTTTTCAGCAATAGAAAGTTGGTACCTTCACTAATTATAATTTTTCGTCTGGATGGGGGTTTTAAAAAATGTTAAAACTTGTTTGCTATTAAAATAATGTATGGTCGTGTCACGTAAAAACACTTTCTTAACAATTATATCATTAACCGGGCATTTTAAGTTAAATACACATCAATTAATTTTTTATGTGCACATCCATACAGGATTTTGTACCTGGTTTTCCCTGTTTTTAAACAAAAATATATTTTAACGTGTTCACTAATCGCAGTTCAAGCCCACACATGAGATTAGGCCACACATTGTTTAAATTACAGATTCTTTCAATGTTGACCACGTCATTCATCTGGGTAAGAGGAGCTTGTCTGATGCATGGACATGGTTATGTGTCGCTGTGTGTCCCACCTGGCAAGTGAACAAAAAAAGTAAACCATCTTAACTTTTAGTGCAGATATAACAGTGCAATATTGGTATTTTTTTAAAATTCAAAACAAATCTTTAGTGTCTTGGAACATATTATCAATGTTTACAAAGTTCATTTTTTGCTTAATGCTTAATATGCTAATTTCATTGTTATTTAACAGCAACAATTATGTCAAATAATCATCTAAAATATTAGATGTTTAACCGTGGATGCATATCATTAATTCTTTACTTTGTTTAAAAACCATTCATGCAAAAATGGTACATAGCACTCGGCTATTACTTTGTATGTAAGAAGGTAAATGAAATTATCTTGAGACCTAGAAATAGTTAATCTATTACATCAAAAAAGGATATGTAAAGAACATCAAAAATCAACTTTAAATTGCATGCATGACTGTGAAAACAATAGAACTTTAAAATCTAGCAATTAATGAAATTTATTTGATGGAAAGAAAAAAAATCAAATTTAAGGATAAAAAAGGTTTAACTAAAAGAAAAAAATGACAACATTACATCCATACTTTCTGTGTTGAAAAAATAAAAACAAAACCATGTTCAAAAGAAATCAGAAAAAAGACCAATTGACTAGGGAGGGGAACTAGAATATATCCAACATGCAAACGGATTATTTCCCGTATAGATGATTCCACACATGAATATTCCAAACATTTGTTTTGTTTCCTGCAAGTGCTTCAAGGATGTGAATCTCATATAAAAGTATATTGCTGGGCCACATTTCATTGAAATACAAATTTTATGCTTTAAAAAAAAACGGAAATCAAATTCTATTGAATAGTAACAGGTGGTCTATATTTTATGATGAAATTTGGAGTATTATTTTAATTAAGCTGTAAATGCCATTCCTGGGAAATAGCCCTAGCTTCTCTCCTGTGCTGACTTTTTAGGCTGTGCTTAGTAACTATTGTCAGAATCTGGGTGTAACCATCTTCCTAGGGGATTTGTTAACTGGCTCAACTACACCAGCACACCTTGAGGACAATCCCATATCACTATAGCAGCACTCTTGGGGGACAATCCCATACTGAGCCATAACAACAACACCAGCACACCTGGGGGAAAAGCACATACCATTATACCAGCACACCTAGGGGACAATCCCATACCAAGCCATGACAACTACACCAGCACACCTGGGGAACAATCCCATACCAAGCCATGACAACTACACCAGAACTCCTGGGGGACAATCCCATACCATTACACCAGCACACCTCGGGGACAATCACATACCATTACACCAGCACACCTGGAGGAAAATCCCATACTGAACCATGACAAAGGAAACCAGTTTCCTATACTCTGATAACACTTAAAAGTTTGACATAGAACAAATAAAAAGTGGAAGAACTATATTTCATCTTATAAACACAAGGGAACTTTAAAAAAATAAATAAATTACTAAACCACCAGTGAATCCTTTTAGAAAATAGTTGAGTTATAGAGAGTGAGTGACAAAAACTTAGGGTGGGACTAAATAACGATAGACCAGTGTGGCAATAAGGTGAAGTCAAAAGGAAAATAATTAATGAGGGTCATCTTAAAACTAAAACGCAAAATAAAATTTTAAAAATCCAAGTTTGAACTAATAAATGAAATAATAAAAATAATCTAATTCTAATTCTTTTGTAACTAGCCAATAACTTTAAAGATTAAATTGGCAAAATCAAAATTCATTTGTTGATTTAAACCCTAATCATGCAAGTGGAAGGAGATAATTAGAAATTATGATAAAAATGTGAAAAATTCACACAAAAAAGAATGGTAGAAAAAAGTTTGTTTTTTTATTTAGAAAAAGAAACACTATGTTAATGTATGACTATATTATGAAGTAGGTCAGAGGTCAGATTAAAGAGATTTTCTTAAAGATGGATACCACAAAATAATTTGTAATTCTCAGCACATCATAGTATTCAAAGTGTAGCTTTCCTGGGAATAGAAATGTTATATACTGCACGTCATGTGGATTGGAAATAAGAATTTCAGGATAACGTACATTATAGAGAAAAGTGTCATTTTTTTCATGGCATAGAGATGGAATCTACTGCAGCATGCTCTGAATAAAATATTTGAACTTAAGAGGGGACTTAGCTTGTCCATTATGCTGAAATGATTTTTGGAATGAAAAAAACTTAAAAATAAAATATAAAATCAAATAATGAATTAGAAATGTTGTAACGACTATTTCAAAAATGATTCCTAATTATCTCAAATCAAGCGTAACAATTTAATCCTTTGCTACTGGATCTGAAAAAACAAATTAAACCAACAAATACAAGAAATACAAACTGAGCAAGTATCGTATACATAAGTAACTTGAATGTTTGTGGAAGTTTTCTTTTGTTAAACCAACGTAGAACTGGTGACCTATTAAAAAATATATTTATGCACAAATCCCTTACAATATTTGTTCATGTAAAGCAAAGTGAAATTGAAAGTCATTTATTATAAGAAATAATTTGGAACTTTAAAATAAAGTAAATGACATAAATTTTGTTATTTTTTTGTGTTTATTTTTTATTTTTAATAATCTATTGAGTTGAGCGCGGGGCTGAAGGCAATTCATGTTTCTTCTATTTCTTCATCTGTGTCCTCAATATCATCATCATCATCATCTTCATCATCATAATCATCATCATCATCATCACCATCAATTTCACCCTTTGAATCACTTTCACCAAAAGATGATCTAGTGAGGAAATGATTTCTTGTTGAGTTTTTCTAATGCATAAAATCTTTTATTTATGGAGACTCATTCATTCAAATACAATTAACAGTTTGATGGAGGAGAGGTGGTTTTATGTTTACAAGGCAAGTGTGTGTGATGTATGTCTGCATGTTTACAAGGCAAGTGTGTGTGATGTATGTCTGCATGTTTACAAGGCAAGTGTGTGTGATGTATGTCTGCATGTTTACAAGGCAAGTGTGTGTGATGTATGTCTGCATGTTTACAAGGCCAGTGTGTGTGATGTGTGTCTGCATGTTTACAAGGCCAGTGTGTGTGATGTGTGTCTGCATGTTTACAAGGCAAGTCTATATCTGCATGTTTACAAGGCCTGTGTGTGTGATGTATGTCTACATGTTTACAAGGCAAGTATGTTTGATGTATGTCTACATGTTTATAAGGCAAGTATGTGTGATGTATGTCAGCATGTTTACAAGGCCAGTTGTGTGTGATGTGTGTCTGCATGTTTACAAGGCCAGTATGGGTGATGTATATCTGCATGTTTACAAGGCCTGTGTGTGTTTTTGTATATAAGCATGTATACTTGTATATGAGTGTTTAATATGCATATGTGTGTATGTCTAAAATTAGGCCTTCTAGCTTAGCAACTTTTCCAGCTGAAGACAGAACTAGAAAATGAACTGCTTTTCTTTGCACAGAAGCAATTTTTTGAAATATCAACAAAAACTTTCAAAACAACATACTGAAAACTCATCAATTTCGCCACACATAAAAGTCCTTGTAATCAAGCATCATCAGGCCAAGCAAATTATTTTCCATGCAATAGCGAATGAAATGCAACTGATATACATGATTGATACACATATCCGTTGATCGGATACATCTAAATAATGGCAATTGACAGATCAGAATGCATCCTTAAGACCATAAAATGTAAAGGATTAAATATATCATAAGGCACTTTGACAGCAAAGATGTAAGGAATAGGAATACAGAAATATATCATAATTAATTTCACCACATCATATAATATGACTAATAACTCTTTCTTACTTGGGCTTCTTCATTGAAGCTTTCTTCATCTTCTTCAACTGCACAAGCAGATAAGCAGGCTGCAGTCTTCTCCCCAAGAAAGCTGGATTTGTTGTCTCCTGGACAATCAAGACGTACTCACCTATTGAAAAGAATATTACATCTTGTCATGCACAACATCTTGACCTGTACACCATTTTGACATGTGCAACATATTGACATATACAACATCTTGACATGTACAATATCTTGACCTGTACAACATCTAGTCATGTACAACATCTTGTCAAGTAAAACTAAAAATTAATAATCTACCAACTTTTTTTGCAAATGTTGTTGTTTCAAATAATTTTATTCCCACTTAAAACAAACTACTGTTAAGCTAAAATGATGAAAGTAATGATAAACATAAATACACATTGAAAATTTTGTAAACCAGCAAAAGGGAAACTTACACAAAATTTTCAATGTGTATTTAAGTTTCCCTTTTGCTGGTTTTCTTTACTTAAACAAACCATGAAAATCTGTTTATATTTGTTTTGGTATTTCTAAATAAGCATAAAATCTATATATGTTTGTTATAGGTGCCCTGTTTACTTTCACTCATTTTTTCTGGTGAATGAACTTAAGCTGACCCAGTTTGGTTGCACTAGTAGGGTGTAGCGTAATAACTATAGTCTCCCTTTGACCTCGGTTACAACTAACTTAAATCTATCATCTGTTTTTATTAGAAGTATGTAGAATCATGTAGAATCTACCAGAGTGGTCGAGGCGCAATGCCACAATTAAAATGCATAAGTCCGGCATCTAGAATTTTATAAAGAAACAGGCTATAGAAAGCGGAGAGATTGAGCGACAGGAGGCAGATGAGATGAGAGATATTTGTGAGCATGTGCTATTTTCGCTATGAGACAGAAATTTGTTTACTGTGTGTGTGCAGATTTCTTTTCATCATTGTACATTTTTACAACATTATATCTTCTTCTACGCTGTACCAGTACAAGCCAATCATTATTCTGTAAGTCAATGGCTTTAATTATATTTCTTTTTGATTTTGTAATTTATAATTAACATAATAAAATTCATTAATTGAATTAGCCCTGGCTTGAGTATTGTATGCTTTGTTATTGTACTTAATTTGTGGTATCGTCTTTTGTTGTGTACTGTTTTAGAACAAGCCATATACTTAAATAAGAGATTAATTTTTCCATATTGATAACAGAACGTAACATTGTTCATACCCAGTCTGGCAACTGTTTCATCTGGTTCTTTCTCTGATTTGGAACTCTGAGAACTTTTTTGATCTGTTAGAAGTAAAAGTTATAATTTTATTTTTAAAAAAACAACACAAAAAAAGTCAGGTTTATAAAGCCTTCAAACAGGAAATATGTTTCAAATGATTCACTGACAACTTGTCTCAATGGATGAGTCAATTTCAGAAAAAGAAGAAATATTATTTTGCCCCCATTCTTACAAGAAATAAAATTGAAATCATTTATAATACTTTTATTACTTCATCATAGAGTGTGGAACATAATTATTTATATTTCAAAATATAAAAAAATGTATTTGACAAATGAATCTTGGGAAAAAAAAAAAAAAAAAAAAAAAAAAAAAAAAAAAAAAAGAGAAAAATTTTAAAAAAAAAAAAAAAAAAAAAAAAAAAAAACAAAAAAAAAAAAAAATTAATTAAAAAAAGAAATTGGGGAAAAAAAAAAAAAAAAAAAAAAAAAAATGTGAATAAAAAAAGTGAAATATTTTAATGCAAAGAATGATTCAAATATAAAAAAGCAAAACAAAAATTGTTACTGAAAATATTTAGAGCCAAGAACATTAAAAAATGAATGTTGAATTTTCAAAAATAAAAACAAAAATTTCCACCTGAATTAAACTAACTTTAAAAAAAGTAAAATTGTACTAAAAATTTAAAATAAGACTTGTTATCTAGAAATATATCCACAGTGACTTCACTTTAAAAAATCAACGCACATATATATATATATANTATCTATATCTATATATATATATATATTATATCTATATCTATGTCTGTCTATCTGTCTATCTATATATCTTCAATCTAAATGCCTTAGATATCAATATCTTTAAAAAAAAAAAAATCTTAATTAAGTCCCAATAGCAGGGAAGTAGTAAATCTTTAAAAAAAAAATATTTTAATAGTAATGATCGAAAAGTCTATAGAGAGGTTTTAAACATGATATAAATAATTTTCATTCAATCTCCAAGTTGATTATTGTGGGAGTGTGCTTAATTATAATGAATACGCAAAACAATTTAACACAAAAACAAAAACTTTCAAATCAACCTGGAGTTTCTAAGATACTATTTTGGGATTCCAAACTAATTTCTCCAGCATCCCCTTGATTGTTATTTTCCTCAACGGTCATTTCTTGAGAACTTGCGATTCCCTCAACTGGGTCTACAGAAGGTTCCTCCTCAAAGTCCTCTCCTTCATTTTCTTCATTTTCCTTTCCAAATTCTGCAGTTTCTTTGGCTATAGATACATACATATTATGAAATGCCAAAGTTTTACTGGCATATTCGATAAATAAAAATGCTGGTTCACTAAGCCAGTGCTACTCAAAGTGGTGTTCCGTGGACGGGTGCCGGTTCGGCGAGCCTTACGTTACCGGTCCACAGAGCATGAATATTGATGTTTAAATAGAAAGAAAATGTAATTAATAAATTTGACACTGGTCCCTGGTGCCGTTTTGAAACTAGTCCACCGGTACGTGAAACTTAAGCCACAAATACAAACCTGAACGTATTGATGAAAATTAAAAAAAATTTAATTGTTTCTATTTGTCACACTCTCTTTTCAATGAGTTAGATTATTAAGGAATATTGAAGATTTTGGTGTGCTTTCCATGGATTTATGCTCTTTTTGTCATTGATAAGACACTATCTCAAAATCCTAACTACAAGAAAAGTGGACCATTTGAGATACAAGACCTTGGCATTGTCTTGAAGGGCCAGTAGTAAATAAAGAACATTACTGTGATAAAAGTTAATGTGGGAGATTCAGTAATTTTAAAAGATTGGTCAACTTATTGGTAATCCTGTTAACATAACATAATTAGTCAATGAGTGACAATACAGCAGCAATTTTAAAATAAAAAAATTATGGTGGTCCATGAAACTGCATGCAAGTGAAAAATCTTACTTTTTATTTTTTTATTTTTAAAAATTCATACAAAAATGGTTCTGAAATACAAAAACTTGCATGAAAATTATAAAAATCCAAACCCTTTGCTATTATTTCCAGTGAAACAGCAGTTGGAACATCTTGGAATAGGAGTACTTAAATCATTTGTAGAATCCCACAAACACTTTTTAAAAAAATGTGTTATACAGTGAAACAATGAAAAATAAAAACCTTGTGAACACTATGTACCAAATATTTACAATTAAGCATGATGAAAACATGACTGGGGTCGCAATCAACTATAAATATTTTTAAAAATTCTTAGGAAAATAAAAGAAAACAAAAGAAAAGAAAACTTAATTAATTTTTTTTACCTATCTTCAATGCCTCGTCCATTTCTAAATTGATTTGTAAAAAAAAAGAGGAACAAAATGTTCATGATAATAAGTTGATTTTTCCCACCTTCTATAAGAGTTACATCAAAGATACGTCATTCAGCTGAACAGTGACATGAAACATGGGTTTTAAATTATCCTAAAGATAAAATTTTTGATAGAATCAGCAAGAAACATTATTTAACAAAGTTAAACAATCTCATTTAAAGTTATAGAAATAAAATGTTTGAACAATGCTGATCCTGACTTGCTTTATATTTAAAATGGGGGAGTGTGGGACTATGGGTAAAATGTTAATGAAAAAAAATAAACAAATGAAGAAATCCATTGCCCAAAAACTGACTGATAGTTTCAGAAGTTTTTGAATTTTCCCAATCCAATTAAGAAAAGATTTAAAAAGTGGATTTGAAAAAGCAAAATGTTTCATAAAATGTTGCTAGAGTATAGAAAATCAGAAAAATACTGGGGGGTTGGGGGGGGGGGCATTTGAGGTGTAGTTTATTCCATTGGATAGGAGAAAGAAACAATTTTTTCATTTCTTTGAGGGTTATATTTTGATTTAAGAACTATTGATGAGGGAATCTAAAAGAAACAAATAGGTTAAGTTAAATAGTTAAATTTTTCCACTTATATTTATTTATATACATTAATTTTTTATTTTGTTAAAAATTAGATTAAGGAAGAGAACAAACATCAACAAAATCAACCCTCAACCCCAACGATGCCATGAATATCTGCTCATTATTAAAAACATTTTAGTTTCTACCAAAAATATTAAATAAGTACCAACAAACTGTGGATTTTTATATTCAATACTCAAAAGATGTGAGGGAAAAAAAGAAGCATCAATAATAAGACTTTATTTTACATCTCTTGGCTGTTGGAACTAAAAAAATAATTTTTGGTCTCAAGAACACCTTGCAAAATTGTTGATGTGCACAGCCAATGGCAAAATTATTACCATGTTATCTCTATGACTTAGTTGTGGAAAATGGTACATGGATTCAGTCCTTTTTGAAAAGGACTATAACTCTGCCCAATGATAATCATCTCCTTGTTTCACACTAATTACTTACTTATTGACGGGATAATTCAAAGTTCCACAGACAAAAAGAGGAACGCAATACAGTGGAGAAACTTGGAATGACCTAGATTTTGCAGATGACATTGCACTTCTGTCCAACAACCAGCAACAATTAAGTAAGTAGGTGTCTCTGTGACTAGGTTGTGGAAAATGGTATAGGGATTCAATCCGCTTTGAAAAATACTAGACTATTTCTAGTGATTCTCTTTTCAAAAATTTTTTTTAATGAATTAAGTAAATACAAGCTGTTTAACTTAAGCAATATTAGGCACACAAAAAAGCAATTTAATCACAGCTCATAATTTGAAAACACTCTGTTAACATTTCATAGAGTTCCCCTGCTTAAATTTCACAGAGTTCACCTGCTAACATTTCATCAAGTTCACCTGCTAGCATTTCATAAAGTGCATGCACAATTTATCAACTTAAACCTCCTTGCTTAATACATTTTGTCATATTAAAATAATGACATTATATCTATTCATATGGTAATGCAATCAATAAAAATATCTTCTTTGTCTAATATTTTTGCTATTTTTTTTTCATGAAATACTCAAAGAGAGAACATCTAAAAACCTCTGTTATTTTATCTGTGCATCAACATACCAAATATTATTAAAAGTTATAAAAAATAAACAAATGCAAAAAAAAAATCAGTTAAATGAAATCCTGTACTTACCCTCATTTACTAAATGAAGAAAATAAATAATTGGCTTGTAGAGAAATAAGTAAAAATACCCATCCCCAATTTTAATAAAATAATATAGCCTAATAAGCACCCCCCTCACATTCAATAAATTTGATGTCACACAAAAATTGAATTTTCTACATTAAAAACAAATCTTCAACATTTTTCATGCAGACAAAAAAAATTTTTTTGGTTGAAATGCTTTGGCTTTTTAATTCCTCTTGATTGGATACTAGTCTAATAAAAAACCAAAAAGATGACTTTAATTATTTTTTATTTGTAAGACCAATGGTGAAAATAAAATTTCCTAAAATAATTGGACTCTCTGCTCTTAATCTGCTATGGATATATTAGCATTATGTTCTTTGAGAGTGTCATGGTTGTTGGGTAACGGTAAGTAAAATCAGAAATGCAACTCTTACCTATCTTCTCTTTACTCTGTTTTGACCTTTTCCTGGCAGCCTCTTCCTGCTTCATTATGACAAATGGCCTATACATCGGAGGGGGTGGGGCTAACTGTAAGTTTGTCCACTCGCAGACCCCATATGCTATAAGTTTACTTTTAACAGCAGGGGGCATCTGGACTAATTCCTCCAGTCTTTTTTGCAACTCTGCAAACATGCAAAGATGCATTAGTTAGTGTCTTCTTTTAGCTCAATCAATATCATAAATTTAAGCATGAGTGATTTAGCTAGGTATAGTGGAAGGAAAGAAACATGTGCTAATCTTCAGATGGTGAGATGTAGTATTTGACGTTATTTAATGTAGAAAACAGTTAGCATTTTACTACATTCATTAGATGTAGAAATGTCAAATAAAAAATAAAATAGGCAAATTTTTGCTTAATCTTAGTTTAACTACACGCTGAAACATTCAGTGACTCTTTGATGATTACCTGTCCCTTATGTTTACCAAATACGTTAAAATGACCTGCCCTTAATGATGACCAAATACTTAAAGATGACCTGCTATAATGATGACCAAATAACTTAGAGATGACCAACCGTAATGATGACCAAATACTTAAAGATGACCTACCATAATGATGACCAAATACTTAAAGATGACCTACCATAATGATGACCAAATAACTTAGAGATGACCTACCATAATGATGACCTAATAACTTAGAGATGACCTACCATAATGATGACCAAATACTTTCAGATTACCTGTCTCAGATCCTTCCATGACCTCACTTTCCTCATTTGATTCTTTCCTTTCAATTGGAGCAACTCCTTCATCTTGTGCCGCTACTTTGGAAAGACTTTCAGTTTCCTTTACAGGGGGAGAGCTTTTAGCATCCTCTAGAGTTTCAGAATGATCACTTTTCTCATCACCTGTAGGTATTTTTTAAAACAGAAACCGATGACCAGATTAGTGAGGGTTATTTATTAATTTTAGATTTCATTGCTGTTGTGATGAATTGTTACAAACAGTGCATTCAAGAGAATGAGAGAGGCTGGAGCCACTCGATCTCTTTGAGGCCACTAATTTTAAAAAATAATAAATTACCAAACTGCAGTTATAAAATCAGTTAATATTTAAAGAATTAAGTTCAAGAGTAACACTTTTAAGGTGCTCTAAAACTATTTTGTTGAGAAATAATATTCTTTATTTGTTATTGCATTGATTAAATATGTTCTTTTTGAAATTTAAAATGAAACCCTCTGTGATGTTTCCTTGTTGATACCATAAGTTGTGAAGAGTTCCTGTAATATCAGTGCTAATTTAACAAGGCCAAAGCCTCTGTGATGGTCCTTTGTTGATGCCATAAGTTGTGAAGAGTTCCTGTAATATCAGTGCTAATGTGACATTTCAGCAGGTTGAGCTGATATTTTTAGAGAAACAATTCATAACAAAGAGAAAGAAAATAAAAACACCAAAGATATCAAATTAAAAAAAAAACAAATTATATTTGAATGTTTTAAATACGCTCAGGCAGGGACAATACACAACTCAGGTAGGGACAATAGTCAACTCAGGCAGGGGCAATATCCAGCTCAGGCAGGGACAATATCTAACTCAGGAAGGGAAATACCCAACTTAGGCAGGGACAATACCCAACTCAGGCAGGGACAATATCCAACTCACTCAGGGACAATACCCAACTCAGGCAGGGATGATACCCAACTTAAAAAAAAAAAAAAGAAAAAAAAAAAAGATTGAATATTTCAAACTTAATTAATCTTACTGGTGCAGCCACTTGATGTGCACTGGCAAAGTTGCTTGATGTGCACTAGCAAAGTTCCTTGCTGTGCACTAGCCTAATTGCTTGGTGCACAAATTATCAGATGAAGCAGGCTCCTTTCCTTTTTGACCCGTGTTATACTACCCAGGAGGGCAGCCATTTTTGGAGAGAAATTATCCCTCATTAAAAATCTCAACTACCTAAGTGGGAAAAAAGTAGTCAACTTGCCATGGGATTCAAAAATTGTCTGTTCACACTATTCACAACCTCCCCCTTGCCACCCCCTGCTCCCACACAAGCATGTTAAAACATATTTTGAAAAAAAAAAGTAAGATGGGAAGAAACAGTTTACTGAAAATTGTATGGCCTATATATTTCAGTATATGAGTCAGTCCATTTCCTATATATTTCAGTATATGAGGCAGTCCAGGTCCTATACATTTCAGTATATGAGGCAGTCCATGGCCTATATATTTCAGTATATGAGGCAGTCCATGGCCTATATATTTCAGTATATGAGGCAGTCCATGGCCTATATATTTCAGTATATGAGGCAGTCCATGGCCTATATATTTCAGTATATGAGGCAGTCCATGGCCTATATTTTTCAGTATATGAGGCAGTCCATGGCCTATATTTTTCAGTTTATGAGGCAGTCCATGGCCTATATATTTCAGTATATGAGGCAGTCCATGGCCTATATTTTTCGGTATATGAATCAGTCCATTGCCTATATATTTCAATATATGAGGCAGTCCATTTCCTATATTTTTCAGTATATGAGGCAGTCCATTCTCATTGTTACTCATAACAAAGACTCATATTTTGTATCATTCCTCAATGAACCACCTCAAACATAAACACACCTTTAGCATCTGTTTTATCTACATTTGTGTCTTTAAGCGATGAGGCTTCAGTTGCTGAATCAACAGCTGCCAGCTGGTCAGTCAAGGGGTATGGAACCACATCGTAACCACTGGATGGAAAAAGTGTTTTTTGGAATGTTAGATTGTCAGCTGGAACATCACAAAAATATGAGTATTTAATAATAAATGCAAGGATGTTATGGCACCCCCCCCCCCCACTCATTATTTTTTGGAGACCCTTATCATGTTAAGGTGCTGTTTCCTACTGTAATAAATTATACAAAATTACTATACTTGGAATGAAAAAGTGTTTTTTGGAATGTTATAATTGCAGCTGGAACATCACAAAAATATGAGTATTTAATAATAAATGGAAGGATGTTATGGCACCCCCCCCCCCACTCATTATTTTTTGGAGACCCTTATCATGTTAAGGTGCTGTTTCCTACTGTAATAAATTATACAAAATTACTATACAAATCATTTCATGTTAAGAAGAGAGGGATTTATAATTTAAAAGATTCCATCAGTGTGTTAAAATAATGAAAAAGAAAAGTTAACTGCGGCAACAATCCAAGAATAAACAAATGGGAGAGAATCCTACACAGAAACTCAAAGTGGTGCGGAGTGTGTAAATTGACCAAGGGAGGATATGACCAAAAAAAACAACATGACACACATTGTTGAATGTTACAACTTACAAGGGTGTAGGTATGGGCTGATCTTCGTAATCCTCAATGATATCAAAAAGTCCTGAGAGTTCTTCAGGGTGTCTGTACTTAAATCCTGCAATCACTTGGAGTTCTCTCCCATGTTCTAAGATTAAAAGATAAAACAAAATAATTGATGGGAAGAGAAACAAAAAAAAAAAATTATTTGATTAAATAGAGCAAGTTTTCAGTTTAAATAAAACTGAAACACTAATGTTCATGGCTAGAAATGGTGTCTTTTTAGAGATATAATTTAGGCATGGAAAGATATTTAACTAATAGATATTGGACCGAAATGACCAAACAACATTATAATGTTTGACAAACAGAACATTGAGCAAATATATGTTGTAGAAAACAATTAACATTCAACATCTATTTTGACTAACAGAACATAGCAAAATATCACCTTGAGCCTATTTCAATAAGCTAAATGTTTGTTAGCCAAATGGTCAAGTGCCAAGCAAAGGTATTTTACACCTGGCCAAGGATGCACAAATTATAAAAAGTTTCTGCCACAAAGATAATTTCTAGGCTGTTACTTAATATTTCAAAAACATGTTTTCCTAATTATAGGAAATATATTTAATTATTCAATCTAATACCAACCAGTCACAAGTTCGTCATCATCGTTCCTGCATTCAACACTTATAGAGAAAGGCTGTCCTTGTTGAAGAACCATGGGTGACTCCTGGAGTATGACAATTTTGGTTGCCATTGTTACGGGAAAGCCATGCTCCCACAAGCCCCTATAGTACATGCCAGATGCATGTGCCAACTTACCCTCACCATGGAAGAGGTCATTCACAAAATTGCCCTGTAAGATTTTAATCTTCTTTTAACAAGCACAAAAAGGAGAATCTAACAATGTAACCCAACCAGACCATTCAAGTATGATCACTTGTGATGGATTCAAATTGGGTGGCTGGGAGGCTGGGTGGCTGGGGTGGCTGGGGTAGGGCACCTGACTCAACTCTACATACATATCTACAAGTGAAGAGCTCCAGGTGAGATGGGAGGTCAAAAATCATGTGCCTTATTAATTTTTTTTAATTTGCAATTGAATTTTCAAGAATCGACAAACAATAATAATGTTTGTTAATCCCTTCCCTGACCCAAATACAGAATAAATTAACAAAAATAAATTTCAAGCAAATATATCCCAGCATTTTTAGTTTCCAAACCTTGATGATTATTAACAGAAACTGAATGGGCATTAAATACTATTATTAGTATTTTATATTTATTTATGATACCATACTCATAGTGAAATCTCAAAAGAACTTCCTTATCTTTTGAAGTCACATAATTTCACTTCTAATACAAACAGGGAGATTTCGGGCTTTGAAAAATAAACATAAAAATTTAAGTAACCTGGAATTGCCATTTAAAAAAACTTTTTTGTTAAAGGTCCTATGGCATAGGGAGCAATATTTGTAAAATTTCAGCTATGTGCTAATTGTATCAAAGGGTTACAAAATATTGCTTACAGTTTTTTTACAATTGATTCTCCAATCAATCCTGATTTGCAATTCTATTCAATTTCTATGCCTGATTTTATTCATTATCCAGCCTTACCCTGCCCCAAAACAAATCTATGTATTATAAAAATTAAAATATCTGTGATATCCTGTTTTTTTTGGGTTGTTTACATTTTGGCCCTGTTAACATTTGCACCCCACCCCCACCACGTTATTCTTGTAATCCTCCTGTGCTTGAACAGGAACATTTTATACAAATAATTAATTATTTTGAATCACTTTTAACCCACAGCCCAGGAAATAATTTCAACTTTCATTTATGAAACAACTAGAGTCAACTATAAGTTATCTCATTAATATTTTTTTATCAACTAATTGAATTGAACGTTTTTATGATTAAAAAAAACAATTTAACACTTTTATATTAAGGGTGGTATAATTATCTAACTAGTAAGTAAGTAGGAGGCTTTTCATTGTTATACTAAAAGTAATTCCTACTTCATATTGTGAGCCATCAGCACACCACAGTTCTCCAAGACCATTTCTTTTGTCCTGAGTCCAATGTCCTTCATATCTATCACCATTGCTGACAAAAATAATAATAAAACATGGATTATCTAGTGAAACAAATCAAATGTTAAAAGGGATTCTGGATATTGAAAAAATGTTTCCTTATTACTTTAAGCTTTTGGCTAAAGCGATATTGCAATAAATTGGAGGATTAAAGAGAAATTCTATATTTTTTACATTGTTGATCTCAATATTTTTAACTGTTTCATAAATCATAACAATTAAGGTTGAAAAAATTATGGTTAGTAACTGCAAAAAATACAACATTGCATTTGAACGCAATTGATGGTTACCTTAGCTTTTGATATGATTCACTGTGATGAGAAGCAGAAAAAAAATATGCGTTATTTGTGAAGCAAAAGAAGCACAGTGCCAAACAATATATTTAAGAGATTAAAAAAAGTTTATTTTGTGACAGCTCTTTCATCCTGTCATTTTTTAAAGTCTGAAAGGGAGCTAAATACAAATTAAAAAGTGTAAAATTTAAAGTATTCCCCTGTTTTTCAATTTTAAAATGTTTAGAAATAAGATTACCTTGGTCCTGTACCAGTTATAAAATGAATAAGCAAGCATTCTTGAAATTGTCTAGCTTAATAAAGTCATAATAATGCTACTAGTAACTTGCAATATGAGACCAAGCTGGGAAAACATTACATTGGTATAAATTTAAGGTACTGGTTTGCAAGGGAGAGGCAATTTTTCTTATAAGTTAGCTGCATGCAGTGGAATACTAGCAGTTTCAAGAGATATTCATATTTGTCATAAACTTTTAAGTGCTTTCCTATTTTTAACATTGACAGTTTATTCAAGAGATAAAAAATATAAAGTGCATTCAGTAAATTTAGCTCAAGCATGTGACATAATACACCTTGATTGAAAGACAGACCAACAAAATATGTTATCAGTGTTATAAACAAGTAAACCACAGAGAAATTTTATTTGTGATACATTGTAAAATATTATGTAATTGTCATGTTATGCATGGTAATATTCATCCTTTTATGGAGATTTCTTTTGTTAAAACACAAAAAAATTCAATATTTGAAAACAGATAGTACTCATTTTGCATTAAACAAAGCCGCATACATATAGTTCATAAGCTACAAAAATATTTGTAAAAAAATATTTTATTGCTTTTAATTTATGACAACTCCAAACCAAGTGTGGATTAAAATGATTTGTGATTATATTGTTATAAATTACTAAGTCCAAAGAAATGTGTAAGTTTTAGTTTTTTTGAAAGATTTTTCACAAAAATAAGCCATCATTTTTTGTGTGAACATATTTAATATTCATCAAATAAGGATATCATTTACAATATTTTTCTCAAAAGTCCTTAAATTTAAATCATGAAAAGTACCATATTCTTTTTAATTATAACTACTTTTTAAATATACAGTTTTGTATTTACCAATATATATAATATACCTATTTGTATAAGTAATGACTCATGTAGGAAACCTACTCATATTTCTGAGAACCTTGTCCATCTTTTGCATCCTCATAAAACGATCCTTCATAAACTGCCTTCATATTTGTCCACAAAGTGCCATATCCTAATTAAAACAGGAAAAATATTGTTTTGTTTAAAACTGCCTAAAATTTATGATCTTGTGAATTTATTTCAGTTAAAGAAAAATAACTCTATGAACAATGAAGTAAAAAATTAAATTGCATATAATGATAAAAAATAGAGTATTGTGGTAAGTAATTTTACATGGATGAGATGCATGTAATAAATTATAGAGAGAGAAAAATTTACTTTACAGTAAGGACTTCAGTGCTTGAGTGAGATATTGTATGCATTAATCAATAGTCCCATCTTAATATAACTGAAAGATTTTACCTTTAAATATGTAGAAAATACGAGGTCATCTAGCAAGGGTAATGTTTTATAAAGTCCAAATTAAAAATCTGTTCATGCAAATATTCTGTCACATATTTACCTTGTCGTCTATTTTTGTACCAGTCTCCTTTATAGATGCTGCCATCTTTGTAATGCATCATCCCCTCACCATGCATCTCACCATTCAAGAACTGACCAGTGTACTTGGCATTGGATGATGAAAAAAATTTAAACCCATTGCCAGTTATTTCTCCATCTGTAAATTGACCCTCATAATAGGTGCCATCTTTCATAACCAGCTTGCCGTGACCTACATTTTTCAGATGAAATCAAACATCGGTTGTCAAGTTCTGGATGAAAAGAAATTCTTCAACACCTTTCTTTGTTTTTGTTAAGTAATCGTTATCAATTACCAACATTGGAGGTGTAAAATTTAAAATATTTTTGGTAATATGCTATTTTATTAAGTGCCTCTGGTTTTTTCAAGTGTATAGCCTTAAATCTTAATGATGACAGAGAGATGGCACAATTGAAAAAAAAAAAAAAAAAAAAAAAAAAAAAAAAAAAAAAAAACAAAAAAATAAAAAAAAAAAAAAAATTTTTATTAAGTGCCTCTGGTTTTTTCAAGTGTATAGCCTTAAATCTTAATGATGACAGAGAGATGGCACAATTAAAAAAAAAAAAAAAAAAAAAAAAGCAAGACAAAGCAAAAACCAACAACAAACAAGACAAGATATACTAATCATCCCAATAGTCTGGCATCTACTACATTAACTATACTATAACTGGTTCATGAATAATTTACATATTTTCTACCCTTGATTATCTTTCCTTCTTAAAGTATTTAATTATTACCCAAGAATAAATATACAAATCTAAGTCCGAGCAAAACTCAGAGATATCCTGAATTTAGAGAATTTAGTTAACTATAACTGAAATTTTGATCTTAGTACAAGGCTGATTGGTGATTACGTCTGAAAGATTAAAAAAAAAAGTTCTATTCCTTACCATGTTTTTTTCCTTTAACCCATTCTCCTTCATATCTAAAGAATGAATTCTCATATACATATGTTCCATATCCTGAAAATATTTAGGGAATTGAAATCTTTTGTAATTTTGTAATTATTTGTCAAAACATTAAAACATCATTAAACTCCCATGCCCATGCATTAATTAATATTTTAATTAATATTTGGAAGCTTAATACAAAATATATTAATCTCATCTCAAAATTAGTATTAAGTACAACATATAAACCATTTTTTAAACTAAATTTTAATCCAGTTCTGTTTCCATAATGGACTTTTTAAATTTATTCAATTTTATTTAAAATAATATACACAAACAAGGATGTCCGGCACTCCTCAGAATACTATTAGTTAGAAATTGTCCGGCTACCAGCCTAATAGTCACAGATAATTGGTGACTTAAATGTTTTCATTTTTTTTTAAGATCGTGATCTTCATCATTCTTTCATCATCATCATCTCTGGAAATAAAATTTTACAAATTTAAAGAAGAAGAACAAAAATGCAAGAGAGAAAAAAAAGTTTTCTCTGTTGAATTGCTGTTTTATAGAAGGTGTTCAGCAAGACACACTAACAAAAGCATAGAGTGCTTTCGGCATTGTTTCATAAGTTTTTAGAATATTTCCTGACAAAATATTATTTGAAATATGAAGAGGCGCTTGCCATCTGCCGGCCATGGTATTGTTTATGTTATATTATTACAAGCCATAATTAGTTTGCAAACAAAATTAGAAATAAAAAATTACGTCACCAAATAACGTCTGCTATTAAGCTAGTAGCTGGACACTTTCTAACCAAAAGTATTCTATTTTTAATTTGGGAATGACGTTCTGAGGAGTGATGTCCTTGCTGGGGCCATCCATAAATGACATTAAACAAATATTGCTAATTTTTTAACCCCCCCCCCCCTTTCCCCCATCATCATAAAAAGTTAGACCCCCCTCAAATATTTACAAACCCCTTCAGAAATTCACCTCCTGTCGATATCAAATTACCGTACATGTCAGAAACATTTCATTAGAACAGTGGTTCTTAACCAGAGATACAAGTACCTCCCCTGCCCTGAGGTATGGAAGACCAGAAAATTGTATTCAGTGGCGTAGCTAGAGGACTGCACCGGTTGACGCAATCTCAGGGGGTGACATCAAATAGTGTAATTACAGAGCACACACTGCTCGGTCTGATCGAATTTCATAAAAGGATAACAGATAACACGTACATTTTCCACCCATGTAAACAATCAAAATGCGTGTTTCATTAATATTAAAATTTGAAGGTTGATGCATCAGCAATTGGGTTACCTTATTATTAGATCAGAAACACACTGTTTTGACCATGTTTAAATGCTGAATAAATGTTCGGAAACTTTTGAGAAATAAAACTATCCTTTGATAGCAATGGGCGATTCTAAGTACGTTACAGTTCATAAATACATTTACCCCCAGATCTTCAATTAATTTGTTTTTGTTCTTGTTTTTGTTATAATGTGGACTAAGTTTAACAAGAAGAATTGCATCATGGAAAAGGTAGGAGGGGTGACACCACGAGCTTACCGGACCGGGTGACACCAACCCTTGCTAAGCCACTGATCGTTTTTGCTTTTATTTTAAAAAAAAAGTTTTTATGCATTTTGATTAGCAGCAGTAAATATTTTTTTTGTGAATTTCGTTGAAGCAATGTGTGTATTGGTAATTATTTTCCCTGTTTATAAAAAGTTAATTTAAGTAATAAAACTATGATAACTAAATTATTTAATTATTTTAAATTTTATTACAATATAATTTATAGGGTTAGGGGAGAGATGTTCTAAACGGAGTGGGGCTGTAACACTGCAAAAAAGGTTGACTCCCTTCCCTAGAGCCTTTACTAGATTCCCCACTCCGCGGTTAACCATTTTTTTTTCCATTCCATCCCACCACTTTCCGTGTCCACATTTAGCCATACATTCTCACGACTGTCATTGTAACCACATTCCAATTCTCCTCCTACTTGGCATCCTGTAATTTGATCAGAGGCCATTTTTCAGACCTTGCATACCTGTACTGATTCTCTCAGTGATAGTTTTTTAAACATAAAATAAATATAATTGTTGTTTAAACAAAAATCTTAAGAATGAATGTAATTTAAGGTTATTAAGTGCTATTCTTTACTACAATATTCCCCTTTTCATGTGATGTCACATGGCTTGAGGCCCCCCTTCCCCCCCCCCCCCCCCCAGTTACAAATCATCACAAAAATTTGACCGTCCTCCCCCACTAGATGCATGACGTCATTTATAGATGGCGCCTTATTATGCATTTGTATCACCAAAAAGAGATTACTGGTTGGAAAAATGTATTGATAAATTGTGAATTTCCATGATAATTCATAATATGAATGACTGCACTCTAGTTTAATTAAACATAAAATTATATGGCTTTGGTCTATTATAATTAAATCATTATATTGTAAAAAAAAAGTTTTCTAAAAATGATAAAATGAAGAATCATTTAATATGATGACACCTGAAGTCTGAAGCCTTTTTCTTTTTCTGGTATATGACTCTTAAGTCTTAAGATAATTGTAAAACTCAGCACCAGATACTACTAACTTTTAAAAAGTATTTTAACCCTTCCCTGTTCTTAGGGTACTCCTACGATCTGTGACATTTTTTCCACTATTTCCAGGTGGTACAACACATTTCAATTTCATTATCAGTCAGTCAGTAACTGGAGCAATCATAGTCATAGCAATGCTTTCAAAATATAAGGCACATCGGTCACTAACTATTATGGCCAAAACATTCCATCAGCATATTAATATTTAAAAAAAAGAAAAGTTAACTTGAGAAACAATGCAAAAATAAGCAAAAGGGAGATAATCTTTCACAGAAAATAAAGGTGCACGGAACCAACATAGGCATAGGCCCAAATAATAATTAATACCCAGGCCTCTAATGAGGGCAATTAGGAAATAATATACTATTAGCTATATAAATAGAATAGACTATTTTAAATTTAATTACATATAATGATGAGAAATACATAATATTATATATAATATTAAATTTAAATATTAAAATAATTTAAAATTTAACATTAATGGCCCACAATTTACAGTTACAGACCTGCCACCGCGAAAATACACACTGATTAATTATTAATAATATGTACAAAGAGGCTAAATCTAAAATATTTTAAAAGTTAGATTTTTTAATCAGTTTAAATTTTAAAACCTTCTAAATTACCGTCTCGTAGAAACTTTTGTTTTTCTCCAATATAAGGCTCTTTGCGCAGTCCATTTTTAAAGTCGGCCATATTGTTTTCATTGGAAACGGGAAAAATATCAGTTATATTTCGCATACTCCTTTATTCATTATTAACTAATTCGTTGGTAATTAATAATTGTTGTTATTATTATTATGTGTGAATAAAAAACGACTATTTGAAAATTAAATTCGTCCACAATCTTTATGTAAGAAAATTTAAATTTACAGCGCGAAATAGCAAACCAAATAAAATAAGCGTCACATTTATTGAAAAATGTGGGTTTCTTCTAATATTTACTACTTCAATTAATATTAAATAATAATAAATGTAGGCCTAGTAGCCTGTAGGCCTTTGTGAATTATAAAAGGTACTTCAATCTAGTATCTTACATTATGTCCGCTTTAATAATAGGTATGTGGTGATAATAATATAAACATAATAACGAAAACAAAAATTGATGTTGGGAGTACAAATCCTGCCCATCTTTGAGGCCTTTTCGACTTCCAGGTCTCTACGTCCGTTCAGTCTTTTTTAAAATTATTTGTTACCTGGGCTAGTGGCTGGTGGCTAGTGGCTAGTGACTGGTGGCTAGTGGCTAGTGACTGGCGGCTAGTGACTAGTGGCTAGTGACTGGCGGCTAGTGACTAGTGGCTAGTGACTGGTGGCTATTGGCTTGTGACTGGTGGCTAGTGGCTGGTGGCTTCATCAATAATTCAAAAATTTCCTTAAATGGAACACACGGTTCAACTCCAATATATGTATAAATATATTACAAAATATATCATGTTTTTAATGCGTATTTTTGTTCTTAGACTGCATAAAATAGTCATTGACCTCTCTTCCTGTGGAGCATTTGGCCAACTAGACATGCGACGACTACACAAATAAAATGCCAAGGGTGGACCAAAATCAGCTACTAGACGCTACCTTCTTTCTTGCAGGCCCTGAAAAGATTTACAAGGACTAGTGGACCATCTCCAAAATAAGGGAAGCAACCCTGGGAGATGCAAGGGGCTTCTCCCTTCCAAGAAATGATTGATATCGGGGCGAACTACCCATTCGGGGGGGGGGGGGGGGGGGCGGACAAAATGTAAAGACTATACGAATTAAATTGAGTTGGACCGTTTTCATATCAAGGAATTGAATAGCAACGAAGTGATGCAAGGGGCTTCTCCCTTCCAAGAAATGATTGATATCGGGGCGAACTACCCATTCGGGGGGGGGGGAGGGGGCTGACAAAATGTAAAGACTATACGAATTTAATTGAGTTGGACCGTTTTCATATCAAGGAATTGAATAGCAACGAAGAATGTAGTAAGTTGAAACCATCGCTGACCTACAAGAAATAAGAGGAAAATCGGAAAACAAGGGAGCAGACTCCACCAGATACTAAACTGCCAATGAAAAACACCAGTCGGATTCGCAGTCAAGAAACAAGCAGAATGGTAAAAAATTAACAAGACATCAGATCACACATTGACAACCTATTCATTCGATGGGATTCCATATCACAGAGTGAGAAGACGCTGCATCACCAGAAAACCAAGGAGCTGACAAATCGCTCGACCATGGTCTTGATTATGGATGATTCTGGAGTAAGCGGAAACAGATCTGCATCAGACAGAAGCCCATATTAAGTGACAAAAAGGCTTTTTAATTGTCTGAATGGAGGATGTTTTTTTGCAGGTCAGACTCTTCCGTGGTCTGCAGCAGTAGAGGCTGGAGGGGTGGGTCACGGAGGGTGGATGGGTCCAATATAATTTTTGTTGTCAAACCTTTAATGAATGGATTTTTTTTTTAAAAGGAAAATCCTTAAATTCTTCTGTAAATACAACAGCAAGAATATATGTGTTAAAATACATCTATACATCTATAATGAAGATAAACTAGTGAAAGATACTGAGTAGGGTAAACAGTACACACACATCACTTTGTGATGACGTTTAGCACAGGAAATGAAAATGAGGGGTAAAAAAAATAGCTTTTTGACGTAGAACCATCAACAACAGAGGACCCGATTCTTTTGATTCCACACACAATAATAGATACAACGATTAGGGAAGAGTGAGTGGGTTAATGACCTATCTAATTGGTAACTTAGTTAACTTTAACATAATTTCATTTCAATAAGGTGGCAGGAGGAGCAGTGTAGGTGGCAAGAGGAGCAGTGTAGGTGGCAAGAGGAGCAGTGTACCCTGTTTAAAATGACGACACTCCACAGCTGTGCATAAAAGTCTAATATTTTATCTATGGAATGGGGAATATTTTTGTTTTTTTCAAATTACTCGTGCTTATGTTAGTGGTGGTGTTAGGAGAAAGGGAAGACCTCCGTTTTCAATTTATACAGAGACTCAACTTACACTATAATATATTTTTTGATTCACAAAATAGTAATTCGCCAACTAAGATGCTGAGAGCTGAAGCTCAGGTACCGCTAATCCAACGAGAGTAGATAGACCACCCACACCCCCCACCTTAAGTTACGTTTCTGGGATCAAACCTAATCCCCCCCCCCCCCCCCCCCCCCCCCCCAACGAGAGTAGATAGACCACCCACCCCCCCCCCCTTAAGTTACGTTTCTGGGATCAAACCTAATCCCCCCCCCCCCCACCCACGTCGGCATGAGCTTTCTCATGTCACCTGCCTGAATTTCTCTTTTTTCAAAACCACCCAGCATTACGTCATCAACATAAGATATATTGCTCTTAGCGAATTTAATCTAGCATCTTCACATTTCTTTGAACTAACACATTGTTGCCGGCACAGTGGTTCTAAAACGAATCGTATTCTAGTCAACAGGAGGTCAGCGTTAACATAGCAAACAAACAAACAACAACATAACCAAGGTAACGTCAAGGGAGCCAACCATCATGCCTCGGCGAGAAAACCGAGGCCACTCGTTGGAAGTTTTGCCTGACCTTCACCCTTACGAAGTGGATCAGATATCCAAGGGAGATAATAGGGTAATACATTTTAAATTGTTACATAAACTAAACAACTAGTTACACAAAGTAAACGATGAAACAAGAAAATAGAACAACACTCACATAACAAACACACTCAGCTCACACACATCACCCAGAACGAACATAGTTCATTCACAAACACCCCACACACAATACTTACTTGCTAGCTGCTGGGGCGAAACGGCTGTTTAGAAACTCTGTGACTAGTGCCCAGTCTTACACTCTTGGTGGGATTGACCCGTAGCTATGCATCCAATCCATTAATTACTCGTTAAAAGATGGTCCCTTACCTCAGTCGAATTTAAATGATTTCTCGGAAAAAGTCTGTAAGATACCTAAAGACAACTTTACAATCGCCCACATGCACGCAGTAACCCAATCTCCAATCAACATACTAAAAAAAAATCAACACTAACCTACTCAAGAGCGCAAATTTAGACAAACGTCATTTCGTACGTTGATTGTAATGGTTGTATCTAAAGTAAAACTGTTGTTACCTCCGACGGCAGTGTGACAAGTATGCGGCTCTGTGGAGAGATGGAATGACCTGCATGCGGGATGACATGTGCATCAACAGACATCGGAATCTGGTGGAAATGAAACCGCCCGCCATTTTCTACTTCGACGGCAGAGCATATAATCAGCTGGTAAGTGTTTGTGATCGATTCATCGGCATGTCTGTTAAAAGGAGACCCCTTAAAAGCCACTGATATCTGGTGCATTGGGGTAAAACGCCACTGATATCTGGTGTATAGGGGTCAAACGCCACTCATATCTGGTGTATAGGGGTCAAACGCCACTCATATCTGGTGTATAGGGGTCAAACGCCACTTATATCTGGTGTATAGGGGTCAAACGCCACTTATATCTGGTGTATTGGGGTCAAACGCCACTCCAATATCACCGCATCTTTCATAGGGCGAGCAGTTAGTGAAGTAATTCAATAATTCCTCTGTTAAGTCAAAAATGTGCCTGGCAGTACTGCAAACAACTTGCTACATTGAAATTCAATCTTCCTGTCGACAGTATGGAGACCACGTCTTGTTTTGTTCTTCAACTAAAAATAAGTTGTTCTTCAACTATCCTCATCAACACCAGGCACAGGAACATTGCAAATCCCCTCTACATGCATATGAGCCAAAATGGTCAATAAATCGACCGTGGGCCCTTAATATAATAATATAGAAGAAGATGCACCAAACTTCTAGGTGCTCAAGTGGGGCGTAAAAACTCTAGATGCCCAACTGGGGTGTCGGGTAAACAGGTTTAGTGACACTAACAGACAAGCAACACCAGGGAAATGGAAAAGTTGTGATGGACCACAGTGGATGTCAATCAAGCCGGGCGATATTTAATTTATCTTTACACTAAGGGACGACATTTCGGCCAACTTCAATTATTTTATTTTTTTTCATGAAAAAAGTGGGGGAGGGGCGCAGAAATCTTGGCTGGTCCCGAGGGGCATTAACCTTAAATAAGCCAATGATTTCACCCCTTTAAATATATAACAATTCTGTTTTTTGTTCTCATAGTCAGAAGCCGAGTATCTGAGTGACCCGTGCAGGTATTACAGAAACATACATCCCTGGGTGAGTTGAAGTCAAAGTTTACTAAATTTCGGTGGTGGGTGGGACAGGGAGGTCTTATGTCATGCTCCCCATGAATTGCTGGTGGCGGGCGATGATTGTGGTTCGATCAGTGACAATGATTTATGTTTATTTCTTCTACCCCTACTGATCATATTATGAGACTTTATTGTTGATAGTTGGTGTTGAAATAACGGTCGATGAAGACTCTTATTTCCATTTTGGAACAAATACCCAAATTCCCAGATACCGACGAAGGCTCATTCCCATGTATCAATGAAGACTAATATTTCCATATTCCAAAGAAGGCTCATATTTCCATATTCCAAAAGTGGATTCATATTCCATAGTTCCAGAATATTCATATTTCCATATTCCAAAGTAGATTCATATTTCTATAGTTCAAAGAAGATTCACATTTCCATATTCCAAAGTAGATTCATATTTCTATAGTTCAAAGAAGACTCATATTTCCATTATTCCAAAGAAGATTCACATTTCCACGTTCCAAAGAAGACTCATATTT